ACCAAAGAAAAGGCCAAAGAGTGCTGTGGAGATAGATTTCGAAAAGAGTAAACATAAAAACAGTGGGGGAGAGTCTGTTGGTAAGCATTTGAAGAAGAAGAAGGTGTAGTCATAGTTTTGTTGTGTTTTTTAATTTTAAACAAGAGTTCAGCTTTACAAATGTTTGAGTATCTAGGAGCCCACATTCAACAAATTGTATCCCAGAAACTATAATATCAAGTCCATTAATTCTATGAAATGGACCACAAATAGTAGGGTATCACTATACATATACCATACTGTACTCCAGTACTATTACATTACAGGCCACAGTGTTCTTAAAGCAGGCAACAAAAAAAAAGTGTAGTAGACCACAACTAGTTGGTTGGTACAACTGTACATATATGCAATGTAATCCATAATTTTCACATAACAGGCCAGAAATAGATGAAGTAGACCACTTGTGGTAACTAAGTGATTATTTTTTAGTTATTATTACTTTTCAATGTTCTTTCACGAGGATCTAACACAAGAGATTTTCCATGATTTATATCTACTGTGTCCGTCTCGTCACGCCTACGCACCTATAGTCCTCCTACTAGTACAAACCAGTGCTTGCAGTTGCAGGGCAGTAACTTGGGTTCGACGATAACTGCCAGGTGGCAATTCTCGTTTGCAAAACAAAAAGAAGAAGAAAAAAAGTTATATGCCTTTTTATTTCGAATTATAAAAGCAACTGCTACATGTAAATGTTTATTTATTCATAATGTAGTTATCTTCCATTCCTTCTCTAATCGTCTTATTCTTCATCAATTGTCCAACTTTATGTTTCTTTCCGCAGCCAAAAACTCCAATGGTGCAGGCCCTTGACAATGCTACGTAACATAATTCTTATTCCCGAGGCAACAAGTTCTGTCGTTCGCAGGATCATTAGAATGCTTACTGTGCATATAAGGAAGGGCTCCACATTTTGGTCGAGTATGAGTTCATTACTAGAAAGGTCCTATTCCTTCTGAGATTCGTGATTAGATTAAAAATCTTGGGTGAGATTGGTTCTTTTACCATCACAAACTTGAATCCTCTCATTACTGCCCTATTCTTGTGAAGTTGTTTTACCACAACCTTGAAAATGAGAGTTCTCTTCCTGGTGCTCCTTTGTTATCTTCTGAGTTCCTTGGCGAGTGTGTTTGTTTCTCACCAACTTTATTTGCTGAAACCCTGACGTTCCCTCATAGAAAGGTCTTCAAAAGTATCAGGAAACAATCCACAAACACGTGTACATACCCCATAAAATGGATAAAACAGACCACGAACAGTAGCAAGTGGATAAGGCCAGAACTGTAACGAAAGAGGCCAGAAACATGAGGACAACCTCCACTAGCCACTAAGTGCATTTAGCAGTCCACAAGAGTGCTGTTGGCTTAGATTTCCAAGAAATAATCAAAATTGGAACTGAGCTTTGATTAAAATAAGGGGTGGCTCTAGCCCGGCCCAACTGTGACGATGCTTATTTATTTTAAATTAATAACTTAAAAATTTAACTTCAAATGTCTCTTTTTTAGTTATTACCGACTCAACCCACTTCCATCTTTCATTTCCCGTCTTTTCAACTTCCTTCTTCTTCTCTCGTGTTCTTTGTTAATTGTTTAAGTTTCTTTCTTCTCCATCAAACTGTAAAAAGAACTACGGTGGATGATTTCTTCTTGGATTATGAGTCTACTAGGCATGAAGTTCATGAACCTACTAACAACTTCAGCAATAGTCTCGGAGATCAGTATCTCTTCCATAACTGTACGTCCGACACCCCAATTACTGATGAGTAAGTTTTCAGTTTTCTGTATATGTTTCCTCCTAATGTATAACAATTGGTGAATTCGGTTGAGAGGATTTCTTTGAGAAATGCAAAGCTAGTTCTTGCCATTTCTGCCCATATGCTCTTCTTTGTTTTACACCAATCTTGTTAAAGGTGGTTATACTGCTTCTGGTAGGCCCTTCTATGTTTTTGAGTTTATAAGTGACAAAGTTTGCTTTTTTAATATATACAATAGTCAGGAAAATCCCTGTTCAATACAGAGTCAAAGAAATAAAATAACACCGTGCGGTAGTCGACAAATAGTCGAACTGCCGATGAGAGGGCCTGTTATGCCACAAGATGGGCAGCCCTATTAGCAGTCGTAGCTGCGAAATGAACAAACACATAGCCACAAACGATCGAATGTCTATACATATTGAAAACAACTCTGCCAAAAGGATTGTGGGGCTGCTGTTTGGACATCCTCACCAGCCAAGCAATACAATATGAGAAAGGAAGACTCCATCATGGAGTAACATTGATAGGCTCCAAAACAGAGAGGGCCATTACCGACGGAGCACGATGTCGTAGGCCATTACCGACCAGAATGCCTGAAACGAATTTCGCGACCCACTCACAAAGATGAAACTAACGTTTTCTTTTCTAGTACACAAGTTTTTAAAACATATGCCATAGTTATAGAAAAAAATGCCGGAAAGAAAAATAAAAAACAAAGAAATTAAGAATAGTAATTAAAAAGAAAATTAAATAAAAAATAGTAATAGTAAATAAGGGATAAAGGGAGGGAGGGAGCACTTATCGGAACCGCTGTTTTGGTATCCCCAGAGTAACTGCCACTGCCGTGGAATTGTAACCGGCGGTGTTTTTGAAGGTTATCGCCGTCGCCGGTAGACTCACCCGCCACTCACATGCCATTGTACCGGAGGCGAAACGAACGTAAGCCCTTCCTATCAGTTGCATGCATCGTTGGCTAGACCCAGGACTGCCAACGACGAATTCTTCTCCCATCGTCATCGAGCCCTCCTCCTAGCGTCATCGTTGTCATCGTTGTCTTCGTTCGTTGTAGGTGTCATAAGTCTGAACTCCCTTCGTTGGCGCCAAAGCAAAGGATGAAATAGGAGAAAGTATACATTTCCTTTTCTGTCATTGCACTCATTGACGGTTCAAGCCAAGATCGGCGGCATGTTCGCCGACATGCTCTCCTTCGTCTCCGAGTGTGACCCATAGAGTTGTTGAAGACCATCGATCTCCAGGTGGTTATAGCCGCTCCTTCATCATCGACGGTGTCCTAGTCCGTCAATCTCTCTTTGTTCCTCTCAACTCTTTGGTTCCGGCCATAAGAACCATCTCTCTTTATTGATTTGTCTCTCTTTTTCGTGCTTAAATGATAGCGACGGTTTTGGTCCCTTTTGGGAGCCATAAATGTACTATGTTGTTAGTGACAAAGTTAGTTTTGATTACTCCATATTAGCTCCGAAGGTCAAGCTGCATTGTGAATGTGTTGTCTGGAATAATGAGGAAGAGTATCAGCATTCTCAGTTAGACCTCCAGAGGGGTAAAGGTTAACATTGCATCCCTAATGACTGTTCATATGATTGGGTATGTCCCAATTTATAGTGAGTAAGTTTTTGGCTTGCCTTATGCTAGTGTGATGACCAAGTTTTTGTTGGAGATCGGGGTGTATCTTAGTGGTATCGTCTTTGGTAATGTATGTGCCTTTCTCTGTTTCTGAGATCATTGTTGATCTCTCATATGTAGAGTCATCTTCATCTGCCCAGCAACGCCATGTGCTTGATGACATGATTGCTGCTATGGTCGCCAACAACAATAGAGGGGGGTACTGAAGAAGGGAACATGGTCGAAGGTGATGATGATGATGATGATGATGATGATGATGATGATGATGTTGATTATGATGATAATGGTGATGGTGATGATGATGATGACGGTGATGATGTTGCTGGTGCTGCAGCTTCTGCTGCTGTTGCTTAAGGTGAAGAAGAAGAAATGAAAAGATTTAATGTTTTTTTATTATGCATTTTTGTGGATGTTTTCTTTGTTTTTTGGATGGTTTGTGGATGCTTTTTCTTGTGTTAGTTCGTGGATGTTTTTTTTTTTTTGAATGAATGGTTTATCTGCTTATGGTGGTGGTTTTGTTTAGATTTTAATGGAGTGGATGCAGTCCACACACATGGGAACACGCCTCCAATTGTATATAGTGGACCATAGGGTTTGTTCAATACCAGAATCTGTAAATTGCACCCCACAAAATCAAAATAGCTATCCAGTAGTTGAAGATAGCAGACCAAAAATAACAGTCTAATAAAACACTGCAAGTCGTATCACCCTTTTCCTTTTTCTCTAATTTTTTTTACTAGTTAATGCCACAAGTTTGATTTACCACCCCACATATATCATATACCACACCATAAATGTATTAAATCACCGTCACATACCTAAAGTTCCACATATAAGTTGTAGAACCAACTATCGCAAACCGCACCAGAATTGGTATATCCCACTCCACAAACATGTAAAAGCAATCACGTAGTTGAAAATAGCAGGCTAGAAATAGCATATTGGTATAATATCACACTCTTTTCCTTTTTTCCTAAATTTTAAACATCATGCGATAAGTTTGATTTAAGAGCCCGCATCTGTCACATACCACACCATACTTATCTTAAAACAATCGTCAAACACCTAAAACAAAGTTTCAGTGCGAATATATAGCCCATTAGTTGCATAAACGTGAACAACAACTGTATTCAACATACTAGTAGTATAATATAGCACTCTTAAGCATTCTATACACACCGGAAACTTATTCTCAACGTTTTGGCATATGCTAAACTCTTTGCCTTCACTTCCTCAAGTAGTATATTTTCTAGATCCAGAATCAGCTTTTATTTCATCCCTTCACTCATTGATTCCTTTCAGGTTTCCCCAATTGTCCACGTAGCTCTACTTGATTCCTTCCCAGCACTCTGTCGAGTTCATTGTGATCACACAGCATGTTGTATCACCTCTCTAGACCGTAATGTCTGGGTTATGCCATTCAAATTTGTTGCAAACGCAATAAACAAATGGTGTTAACCAAAAAGGGCAGATAGCACCCCACAAAACTCAAAACCAAAGAAAATAGTTAAGAAAACAAATTGCACCTTCGAAAAGAACATATTCCCTTTACAAGTATACAGAAAGGTTGAAAAGTATACATGTTTTATTTTGATAATGAAAGGAGGCATAGTTGCATCCGATTCAATATGGACAAACCGGAAAATGAACACCAGAAATAACAGAAATCAATAGATAGCACACATTAGATAGATTGCAAACCATAATGTGTTCAATCGATAGAAATATCATGATGTACTCTTAAACTTTGACATAATAGGGAAAATGTTATTCAACCAGGCCAGAAAACAGTTCTAGTAGACCACAAGTCATAACTATACGTAACTTTTTATAGTCATGCTAGTAATTTGAAAGATCATACCACAAACATGGAAAAGCATACTATAAACTATTTGACCATACTATTTAGCATTTTTATCTGCCATAAAAAATAAAAACTCATATCAATTCATACTTTTCTTGTTATGTCTTCTTCAAGCTTGTCATCATCGATGGCTTGGTCTTCATTTTCTACTGTTTCTTTGTTGTGGTGTTTGCTAGCATCTTGTGTCCCAACATCTTCCTCGTTCTTCTCCTTTTCTCCTTATTTGTAGTTGATTGTGTAGCTTCCTATAATAACATATATGCTCCTGAATCTGTTTGACCTTTGATTTATACTCTCTTGCTTATTTCATCATAGCTCTCACGTACCCTTCATACTTGTCCTTTAGCTGGTATGCCTAGAATTGGAACACAAATAGTAGACAACAATTACCATTGAATCCATAGGAGAATTAGTCCTCCAAAGAGAAAAACTACTAGATATTGTATTGTATCATTTACCTCTTCTAGTGTATCAATCCGAGAAAGGTCTATAGGGACATATGGGATGTATGACTGATCACCCTCCCTCTCCATATCGAGCTTGCTTATCCTTTTTGGGGTGGTGGCTGACTGTCATCATCTTCTTCTTCAGATATGAACTCATCTGTTATTAATGGTGTTTCTATTATCTCTTCTTCCACCTCTTTCTCTCCACTGCTTTGTAAGTCTTTGTCTCTTATGGTTGGCACCTCTTTCTCTCCAATGCTATCTGACTCTTTCTCTCCAATTATTCGATCTTCTTTCTCTCCAGTGGTCATTATTGGTCCAGTAGTGAGGTGCCTCAGCCGCAACAGCTTCTTAAAATCATATTTGCAATCTTTGTAAAGTTTGTGCCTACAGGTTGGAGGGGACAGGATTGGTGTAGGCTTCTAGTGTATTCGGTAGAGAATGGAGTGTTGAAATGGAATATGAGTGAATTTACAATTGGTTTCATAATAGAGGCCTCAAGTTACTTAAAGGAGGCCAGAAGAAAGGACATCCAGTCCAATAATTTGAGTAAGCAGGCCACTATCTAGACGATGCAATCCGGAATATTAATTAAGCAGTCCACAAGACTGGGCAAACAATCCACAATGTGGTTGCATACAACAGGACAGAAGACATCCAACCATTCTAGTAATTTGAGTAAGCAAGCCACTATGTAGACATTGTAGTCTGGGACGTTAATGTAGCAGTCCACAAGACTGGACAAACAATCCACAAAGTGGTTTCATACAGGAGGACACAAGACAACCCAACTAGTCCAGTAATTTGAGTAAGCATGCCACTATGTAGACATTGCAATCGGGAACATTAATTTAGCAGTCCACAAGAGAAAGTAGTCACTCACCAGTAAGATGGATGTCCCCTCTAAAAATGGAATTTGAGTCCATCGATTCTTTCATGCCCTAGTTGAAGTTTTCCACAACATGCTTACATCAGTTGTATTTCTCGAAGTCTTGAATCATGTCTTGTTGCATGTACTTCAAGTGTGACAACGCTGGAAGCTGGTTACCACTATGGCAAAGCATGGATTCGAAGGCATAAACGACAAACTGCTCCCTCCATTTTCTTGTGTTTGTATCACTTACCAACTTGAGCTTTACATCTTGTAGCTTGGCATTTCCTTTTGTAAAATGTGGAAGGCCTAAACTCCTCCCTTGTGAACACTTCAACGATGCCCCTAATCCTCTAGTTAGATCAACCTCAAACTGACCTCGTGGCAGCCCATACACCTGTTCCGCGTCTTCCTCTGTTATCTTCAATTCATCATATTTTACTAGACGTAAAGACTTGGTTTGGGCATGGAAGTTTTCCATAACCCAGATGACAAAGGATCTTGGCATCTTTGTTATTCTCACACTTGCCAGATGTTCAAACCCAATCATTTTTAGAGACTCCACCTTCTTATCTATTCCATTTTTTGCCTTGAAGAACACATCTGATATCCTACTAGGGTTGCAATGGTTTCTTTTTTCGTATGGTAACTCGTACATTGCTTTCACATATTTCTTTCAACCAGAACTTCTACTGATCCCATTTAATTTGACTATCTTTGCGCCTAATGTATTGCCTCACTGCTTTTGGTGACATAATTGCAGCATTTGTTACTTATACCTATGGTACAGAAATTTGAAAGATATGAGTGAATAAGTTATACAGAAGAGTGGTCAAACAAGCCACAACAACTGGGAACACTGAGGAAACAAAGTAATCCACTATGTAGACATTGCAACCAATTAAGCAATTCACAGGACTAGGCAAACAATCCACAATGTGGTTTTATTCAGGACTACAATAGTCAGCCCAACCAGTCCAGTAATTTGAGCAAATAGGTCGCTATGTAGACATTGCAATCCATAACATTAATTTAGCAGTCAACATGACAGGACAAACGAACCATAATGTGGTTTTTATACATGACGACATTAGACAGCCCAATCAGTCCAATAATTTGAGCAAGCATGCAAATATGTAGATAATGCAATCCAGATCATTATTGATGATAGATAACATAAATGTACAACATTTGCAACTTCAAAAAAACACCAGAAGTTTCAAAGTCGAAGACGCAAATATGGTCCAGAAGAATAATTAAACAAGCCACAACACTAATCAAGCGATCTAAGATACTTTACATCGGTGCATGCTAGAATGCCGATAAAGTAGACCATTAGATTAGAAACCTACTAACCTAACCAGGAATCTCGCGACTGAGTGAAATTGGTAGTGGTTTCCGGTGCGGAAGCGCGGCGAACTTGTCGCTTTGTTGTTGCGACGGATCAAAGTCAGTGGCGGTTTCTTGTGCAAAATCGCGATGGACTGGTCGACGTTGCTCTCGCAATGGAGCCAAATGAGCGGCAGTTTCTAGTGCGTAAGCGCGGTGTACTGGTCGACGTTTGTCTCACGATGGAGAGAAATCGATGACTGTTTTTTATACGAAAGTGTGATGGACTGGTCGAGCGAAGGAGGTGCTGGGTTGTGGTTCGGGGAATGCGGTGAAAATGATTTGTTAGGGGGAGTGGGGGAGTGAGGATAGTTTGTCATTTGTGTTAAACTTTATAGGTAAAGGTATTAGAAGGTAACAGAGGTGATTGTAACTGCAACTATAAGTTGAAATTACTATTATAACTTCGTAAAAAGTGTTAGTAGGGTGCTAACACTATACGATGTTAGCACCCCATCCTGTCCCCAAACAAGATATTAATTGCCCATTATCCAAAACTTTGTTTAAGTAATTAATTCAAACAATAAATTGTTATGCAAACATGAACAACACCCCCATTTTAATCACAAATATATCAATCATATTAAACAAAGCCAATTCCACATAAGGTACCTAATGCATATATCAAGATTACATATGCTTTCCAGATTTCACATTAGACTTCATCATACCGCAATCGATTTCTCTCCAATCCAATAGAAAAATAACTAAGGGTGCATCGCGCTTCCGTATTTTTCATTAAAATCAACGGCAAAATTTTCGTTGTTTCGATGCACCTTTAATTATTTTTATATTGTTTTGCTTCTGAACACTATAGTATGTTGCAAAAGGATTTTTTTTTACTTTTGTCTAGGATCGTATTCCACAAAGCCTCTTGAAATATCTCTACTTTAATTTATTGCTAGTGTTTTGAGATTTCCTAGTTAAGGTGTCTGTCATGTTCATTTTCACTAACTAGAACTGATAAACTAGAGAGCAGTAAAGGTAGATTGGTTAAACGCATGTTAAAATGTTGTTGTCTGGGATATTCTCACCAAGTGATGTCATTTTGTTTAACTTATAATATATCGAGTTAAGATTAGTTATGTCGAGTTGGAATTATCCCCTTCCAATCATTCTCAAGTCAAACACCTTCTCATGAGGTCTAATCCTGCAAAAGGGGTATTTTAACTATCTCCTGCGTGAGGTCTCGTTATGCGACAAGATAGATGTGAAACTCTTATCTCATTACTCATTAGTATCATACTCAGTAGAAGACATAGAGTAGTCTCTTGTCTACGTGATCTAGTGATTGTATAGGTGCAAGGTCTCTTCATATCTAGAGAAATCATTGGTCAAATTTGTTACAATGCATGCATGATTTCTCGTCATGCATTGGGCATTGATACAAATCATCATAATGCGGTGATTTATCATCTTCTATATAGGACGATCGAGGTAAGTAAGTAAGTAAGAGTGTTATAACACAAGCATGAACTTAATATGGATATATTATTACTAAACAAAAGTATAGATATGCATAGGATATACTCCATAAATAACGTGGGTGCTTAGTTTGACATAGAGAGGAAGAGAACCTACATCAACTACTAGAATTTAGCCTCCAAAACTAGTGGTAGTTCACTTTAAAATGGAAATTGATTCAGGCTTATTATACATGACTTACCTTTCAAACCTTGATCGTTTGACTTGGTATTTAACGATTCTGGGCCAATTTTTATGCTAGATTGTGCTTCCCTTATCACATTTCAGGTCTTATAACGTAAATATGACAAAGGAACTAGTTTGGAGTCATTTGGAGTTAAAATGAAAAAATGCATCAGAGCTGCAAAGGTCGTGCCCTAAGAGCAATTGTCACAGCCAGACCGTGATATTTCACAAGAAGTTCTAAGACTTAATTACCAAATAAGAGGGAGCAAACTACTATTCGCGGTCTGCTGGACAAGTCACGACCATTTAACATGAAGTCGTGACATGTTCCAAAATGAGACACTTCTTGTCGATGTCATGGTTTCTTTGTTGATGTCATGGGTGTGACATGAGGTCGTGATTCATGCACTACTTCGGGTATAAATAGTCTGATGCAGGTTTTGAAGAGGGGTAGCTTGGGTTTTGATAATAATAAAAAAAACACTCAATGGTCCTTCCAAATAGAGCAACAGTGACTTAAGAGGGTTCTTGGAGCTAAATTTGAGGTACATAACCCATTGGGGCTAGAAGATCAAGCCTAGAAGATGAAGATTGAAGATCTTCAGATTTATTATGTGTTATCTCTCCTCACTATGGAATATTTATCCCTCACTTAGGTTTAGATGAACCCTAGCCATGTTCTAACTTATATGTTAGGAATTGATGTTTGAATGATTCCTATGCTTGATTACTTTATTGATTATATATTGAATTGAGGTATTATTATGAAATTTTGTGGGTATTGATCATACTCCTAAATTTGGAACTATTGACCTAAGATAAAGAATAGCCAAATTTGATTATTGGAGCATTCTTCATTCGAGGGTCAATTGATCGATCATTATTGGACTACAGTACCGTATTGGATTATATCCTTTAGTGGTAGCCAAATTGCATGCCTTAGGTCTTATATTTTGTTAGATGTGGAAACTCTCCCTCTAGACGGTTCATCCTAAGTGAGTTTGGACGAACCGAATAGGTAGTTTAAGCGTTTTTAGGACTCTCGGTGGTATAGAACTCGAGTGGGCAAGCTAGGACGGTCAACATCGATCTATTTAGTGTCTATGGGGATTCAATGCCTAAGTGAGCTCCCAACTTGTAATTTTACAAGTGTAGTTGTTAGAGTAATTTAGTTAGTGTAGTTTCTCTATCTCAAATATTTTATGGCTAGATAACAAACAAAGTGCAGTAACGACACATCTAGAAATCCTAGGGTTCGATAATTTTTTATGACTTTACTTGCACTATACTATACCTGATCGTTGGTTACACTTGGCCTTTGATTTGGAGAGAAAGTTAGAGATACTTTTGAATTTTAATAAATTTAGGATGCGTTTACAATTCAACCTAACCCCCTACCTTAACGTTTGGCCGATGTGGTACAATTGACTTTTTCCTTTCTAACTCGAACCAGAACTCTATTACTTTGAGTGAAAGGCAAGAGGAAGAAGTTTCCATAAGGGCAACAAATTCAGGGATGGGTTGGATCACTGCAATCTTTTCATCATCTGTTTGGGATCAAATTTGATCCACATGCTCCTGGCCTTCTAGTCCATGTTGGGCATTGTTGGTTGTCTAATCATCAGATGTTGAATAACTCGTAAGCATTTCTATCATAAAACTTCCAAGATTGCATCAATAAGTCGTGGTTGTAACTTAAAATCAGGACGGTAAAAGATCAATTTTCAAGTGTCATTGGCTTTCTTACTTGATCTTTTATACATTTTATAGCCCCTATGAGTATTACTATATTTTATATCATTTTGGTAGCTTTACTTGATTTTGAGTTCTAGGCACAATATAAGGATAAATGTAAGATCATACCAAAATGGATGCTAGTATCAAACAAGGAAGAAAATTGGGTTTACTAAGTTAGAAACTTATGGCAGTGTATAGTGATGAACCCAGGGGTGCAAAGTGACAGGTGCACACTATCAGTACAGACGACTACAAGAAATCCAAACTGATTCTATCTTATTGTTTAGGTTAGTAAAACCTATAGTGGTTCCAAGATTTCACATGATGATTTGATTATATTGATATTGAGCTTTGATTCATTATCTTATTGTTTCTTCTTGCATATTTTTTTATCCAACATGAAGGGATAAGTTCTTGTTTATTTCTGAATCTAATGCAATAGAGAAATAAGTGATTCGATATAGTTAGATTCATAGGTAAGAGAAGAGATGGCATCTTTTATCACCATACTAGAAGGTGCATATTTTATTCAAATATGCATGTTGTCTATGAAGTCATATACTTTTATGGTTTGGATATGACAAATGAGAAATCACCAAGAGTCTAATTAGTTTGCTGCATACGAGAAATTATGGGTAACACTGTGATAATTGAGATAAAATAAGAAGAGGAATTGAAACTCAGTATACAATATGATTTGATAATTTGGTGACCTCTAGGAGAACTTGACCTAAGCAATTCGCTTTACTCTTGAAATCAAACATCTATTGTTCACTTGTTTTCTCTTATTTGTTCTTTTGTTGCTTGTTTCGTTTTTCTTATTTTAGATACTTCGCTTTTCAGCTTGCTTTAAGTAATTTCTTTATGAATGGAACTTCAACCACAACTCGTTTTGGAATATAGGCAATTGATTCGAATTACTCGAAGAAGTGCGGGATTACTCTTGTTTTCCCCGGAACGTAACTACCCACCTGAAATCAAGTTTGGTACTCTGATTCGCAATCCTATGATTTTTTAGCATCTATACTATCCCCAATAAACTTTAAAAAAACGTTTAGAATAGGAAAAGGAGTCAAGTTCCTTGTTTAAGATACAGTTACTGCTTTTAAAATCAAGGTTTCATGGACATCCTTACAACAATAATGAATGTAAAGATTGTATCACACCTCCCTCATAAGAGGTCAAATGACAAGAAACTTAATTCTAAAGTCTAACAAGAATGTTATCTAGATTTCTAAAAATTATATACTTTACTTGTTGTGTCAGAATTATCAATAAATAATTATTCGATGAATCCTCAATTTATCCCTCTCCTCTTAAATTCTTAACCACTATTCTATTATTAATTACTAGGCCTGACAATTTTGCCCTTATGCATGGTACTTTACTATCCAACCCAATTGGGTTGGGTATTAAATCCAAACAGATGGTACATGGATAGAGACATAGAGTTTGATGGTTTGTACCCATACCCATTTATTTGGGATGAGTTTTTTCTTTCTTTTTTGTTGAGGATGATATATCTTAAAATTGGAGAATTACTAAATACAAAAATACAAAAAAGCAGGGAAACCCAAATGTGAAAAACCCAAAGCAAAACAAACTGATCCCCCGGCAAACAGTCCAAGATGGAACTAGACGTAGAGAAGCTCTAACAGCTCTTAAAGCGAAGCACAACAAGATAATCACGACGAAAACAGGGGCGACAGGAATCCCCATACTTGCCAATTGACACTAAGCATCTCGTCCACCAAAGCCTTTAACAACTGATTGGTACTGAATTCATAAGAGCCAGGGAGACAGTTCACATCCAAATTCAAATGCCCTGCTGTAGATTTTGAATAGTGAAGGGGATTAACATGCCTTCCAATATTAACAACCAAGCCTCAGTCTCTTGCTTGTCAACCTTCTGATCTGCGAATAACTAGCTTGCGATAGCGCAACCTATTCGGTAGGACGTGACACGTGAAGATGCTGTAACTCCCTTGAATATTCGGGAGCTCCTTTCTAACCAAATGTTCCAACAGTATGCATGTAAGAAAACCTTGATACACCATTGACTAGGATCCAAAGGCTTTTGACAGTACCAATGGAAGATCCTTGTTGTAATGTCATAATTGGCGTTGTTCCTGACTTCGATTTTTACAAATGAACTTATAATCCCCCATACTTCCATCGAGTATTTGCAACTGATAAAATGATTGGAACTCTCCTTTTCCTTTTCGCAAAAAGCGTACCTGCTTGGTAGATGTATCCCTATCTTCTTTAAGTTTCGTGAGTGAGGAGTTTCTTATAAAAGACGATCCACAGGGTTCCATAGATTTTACTTGGAACTGTTTGCTGCCACACCATCCTGTAGGGAAAGTCTTCATTCCCTGAAAATTTAGTTGCTACAAGCTGTTCATAAGCTGACTTGACGCTAAAACCAACCTCTCTGGCCCCGCAACAAAATTGGAAGAAGGAAGATTTTTCAAGTAAATTCGATAAGCTCACTCTCTCCCTCTCAGCCCCCCCCCCCCAGAACAAACTTTAAAGGAATTTCCCACACCAAGTTCGAATCCTCTCGAGACAGATACTCCGAAACACGTGAACTCGAAGATTCTGCAACAGCCATCACACGCGGAAACTCTGTCGCTAGGCATGTACCTCTGATCCAGTGATCATGCCAGAATGAAGTCCAAAAAAAAATTCCTTGATCAACGAGATTCGTTTGCTTGAAAGTCGACACCTACTTCATTATCCGTGACCAGGGGGCTGCAGCCTGCACCCCCATTGACCTCCTCTGCAATCCATTCTGAAGTAGCATTCAGGAACTTGACAGCAATAAGCTCTCTCCACCAAGCATTTATTTTGATAACAAACCTCCATAACCACTTTAAAATGAGAGACTGGTTGTGGATCCCCAGATCACGGATGCCCAGCCCTCCTTTTTGCCTTGCTGTTTTGCATAAATCCCACGAAAGTAAGTGGAACTTTTCCTTATCCTATGATCCAGACCAGAGAAAATCTCTCTGAATCTTTACCAATGACTTCACAACGCATTTTGGGATTAGAAGAGAGAAGATGTGTAGATGCTTTGGCTTGCCAATAATGCATTGATCATCACTATCCTTCCTCTTATAGAAAGAAACATGTCTTTCCAACTCTCGAGCCTTCTTTGGAGTTTGCTGATGATAGGATTCCATATAGTATGTGAAGAAGCAGGGGTCCCAATGGTAACCCGAGGTAAGTCGTGGGAAGAAACTGCCAATCACAACCGAATAGCTCAACAGCCTATCCAAATTATCAACCTCCCCAACCGGGAAGATTCTTGATTTGCCAAGATTGATTTTTAGTCCTGTAACGCTTTGAAAGCATACAAGTGCTTCCAAAACGTTCAAGACCTCCGCCTCATTGATTTCACAGAAAATGATTGCATTGTCATCATAAAGAAGATGAGTACCCGCTCCTCGTCGATTCTGCTCGTCAAATCAAAAGCCAAATATGAAACCCCCTTCATTTGAGTTGCAAAGTATGAATGACAGGATATCCATCCCTAGGTTGAATAGGAAAGGGGATAAAGAATCACCTTGTTTAACACCTCTTTGGATGCCAAAGAAACCCACAGCTTCTCCATTAAACAAAACTGAAAGTCTCGAGGAGGTCACCACTCCCCTGATCCACTTTTGTAACCACAGGTGGAGATTCATGGATTTGAGGACTTTGAACATACAGCCCCAGTTGATTGTATCAAAAGCCTTCTCGATATCTAATTTGATTGCCAAGCCGGATTTGCCACTCCTTCTGCGACTATCGTTCAATTCATTTGCAATGAAACTAGCTTCGTGAATGACTCTGCCTTTCGTCCCTACAAACTGATATTTTGACATTGCATATCTCATAATGGGTTGTAATCTTTTAAATAGAAGCTTGGAGATTAATTTATTGAGACTACCGAGTAGATTAATAGGGCGGAAGTCCGAGATATCCTCCACCACATCATTTTTTGGCAGCAAGCAAATAAATGAGTGACCAATTGACTGCGGAAGAGATCCGGAAAGATAGAGATCATCCAGAGCCTTGATTAGATCCTGTTTGATGATATGCCAAGCCCTTTTATAAAATTCCAGTGTGTATCCATATGGGGTGGGGGCCTTGTCACTGTTACACTGAGTCACAGCTCGCCATACCTCATCCTCCATGAAAGGTTGTATCCATGCCCAAATGCAAATTACAGTTTGGTACCTAAACTTAATAGATATACATATTTAGTACCCAAATTTAAATTTGTTTCCATATAAGTCCTCAAAGTATCAATGGAAAAGTATATTTTAGTACCTAAATTTTTTGTCTTACATTTTGGTACCTAAACTTTTCAAGTTTTACAAATAGGTCCAATTTTTGTATGTGTAGTGAAAACACCCTCAAGTAAATGGATATCGATATCCAACCCATACCCATTTAGGTTATGGAAGCAATATCCATACCTTACTCGTCGACAAACCTCCAAACTCATATATACCCCATCCATAACATACTCATTATTTATCAATGGGTCTACTGGGTTACCCATGAATGGCTAATTGTGATCGCAATTATTAGCCTAACCTTCTGCTTCTCCTAAATTCTTCTCCTAACCTAAACCCCTTCTTAAATAATATTATGTCCAAGGACGGAGCTAGCTTGAAGGGAGGGGGGCCATGGCCCCCTAGAATTCTAAGACGTTCTTTTGTATAATCTGTAAGTAGCTATGGTGGCGACAAAACTGCAAGTGCACAGTGTCGTACAAGTAATAAAGTGTAAGTAAAATTATCGTTCTCTAGGGGATTGGTGAAACTCAATAATTAACAAATTTAGTTCAAGAAACTATAGGAATTGCAAAGGTTGTAATCAAGTGATGATTTCCAAGATCGCACAAATAAGTAACTCGATAAATCAACTATTTTGGAGAAATTGATATTGTAGAGTTCCGGGGGAAACACAAGATTTTACTATTTTACCTCAGTAAATTTAATTACCCTTGTCAATCGATTTAATCCATATTTCTACAATCGGGATACCTATAATTTGATAGCCATCTCTATTGAGAATTACCACGTACTAACTAATTAAGACAATTTCTACTATCGTAGTTAACTGAATTAATTAATTAGCCTTAAGAACGATATCCCTGAAATGATTGCATAATTCCCTATTTAATCCACTATCGCTTCGATAGGCAATTATGTCGTGCAAAATGTGTTCGGTTACTAGGTTTTCACTATCATTATTAACCTAGAGAACTACAAATCATTGTGAAGGTGGCCAATCAACACAAAGCGTTAAACAATTCCACACGATAGAAAATGGAAGAAAAACAAGTCATGATTAAAACATCGAGGCTAGATAATGAAATCCATAAGTTTCCCCCAGAAATTGGGGGATTAGTTCATGATGAAAAGAAAGTACATAAACATGCTAATGTTCAACATGATGACTAACTACCAAAAACAAAGGAGTAGAGAAAGTACTAAGTGTTGGAGTTAATCCCCAACTTACAAGAGTTTTCCTTTCTTCAAAATGCTCAACTCCAAAGTGTGCCAAAATGAGCTCTCTCCTTTGATTTTTCTGTCTAAAACTAGTCTCCAAAAGTGTTTTCCAAGTCTCCTAGTTGCTGCCCCTTTTAAATCCATTTTCTGCAGATTTAATCCCACAAAACAAGACACTTGCAGGTCACATTTCCAAGAGAAGGCTGCTGCTAGCTTAAGTCTCTTTCTTTGCAATAAATTCTTGCATAATTTTCTCTATTGGCGAGCCACCAAATCCATTTGCTCACTTCAAGAAATATGACCCAATCCCAATAATTTATAAGGGTTGCTGACAGTTGAGTGAAGATTCCAACCACAATAATTCGATTTGGGTCTTCATCGATTCGGCCTCTGCCTCTGCACATCTGCATTTTGACACTGCACCTGCATTTGTCCACTGCACTTTGTTTTGTTCACAATCTTAGCTTCAATCTGTGTTAAATCGCTACATGTCTTGGTAATGACACTAGGGCCATTCCATGGTCAATATGAACTAATTTAGAGCAATTTAAACACATACATAATGCACAAAATACATGTATGTTTATGAAGCTTATCACAACCCCACACTTAGCATTTGCTTGTCCCAAAGCAAAATAGAGAAATAATTGAAAGAGAAGCAAATAAACATACAACTAAGACTCCTAGTACTCAAATAAAAGACACACTACTCCTAAGACTCGACTAACACCATTGTTGCTTGAGTGACGGTGTGACTAGCTGTGGACCTACTATGCTTTGGTGTAGATATCTATGTATATACACTATCGTCAAATTCAACCTTTCCATGCACACCTAGGCTTGCAAGTTAGATTACACTCCATCACATGATATACCCTACACCTAGAATAAACACACTAATAGTGGATTGTGCCAAAACTCATTCAAACAAAGAGTAAGGTAAGTTAAGAGTAAAAGCATGGCATCTAGATTTCCTCACTAGGAATGTGTATTTCGCTCAATCACACAAGTGTTTAAGGGTTGGTGTTTACACTCAAGTTTTTTCCTTACTAGTGCTTACCTGAACCTTGTTCTTCAACCACAGTTGGACCGATCAGTACAAACACAAGCATATCAAGATGACTACGTTTGGGTAATATGTGTAAGGCTAAGGGTTAAGGTGAGGTTTCATAGGAGGGAAATGGTGATGCTTAAGAGGAATGAGTTACAAAGGTGGACCCAAAGCAAAAAATGCATAACATAAGCAAAACTAAGACTATATAATAAGGGAAGAACATTGATTCCCAAAGATGATACATCGATCCTTATTTATTTGCCCCTTTTCTCTTTCTCTTTTACTCTTTTTTTCAATTTTTTTATTTGATTTTTTCTTCTTCTTTTTACTTTTTTTTTTAATGGGGATGAGACTAAAAGACTTGATGGTCAATACCTCTTTTCTAAGTAGTAGAAGACAAAATTATGCAAAAGAAGGTGCAGTGGCAGAATGCCTATGCAGTGTCAAAATGCATCTCTCATCTATAGCTTCAACTCCTACCTTAGAACATCAACTTTATTTACAAGACAATGAAAATGAAAATGGGTCACTATATTCACACAAAGGACCTCATTCCTCGCGAGAAGGGTTCAACGGGGGAATACAAGAAAAGGGTAAAGGTGAGAGGTGTGATCGAACCGAAAAAACAAGGCCAAGTCTCAAAGAGGTTGATCCTAGTTGTCAATGATAGGGTAGGCTTTTTGGCTCGAGTTGTACTAATTGTCTCTATCGTTTATGCTTGCATACATACAACACAATCCATTCGTGGTTTTGATCAAGATTACCGAAACACAAAGTAATGAAAAACTTCACACAATAGGAAATTGACATTGAAGGTTCAAACTCACGGCTACCAGATGCCATACCCTACTCTATACAAATTATACTCAATTTTACCTAAGTTCGGGCACAATTCAATTCTAGTGAGTGAATTTTAATATGACGGTACACCATGTGAAACAGGCAATCCTACATGCAAACACAAGTTATGCATTTCAAGGTTAACTTGGGATAACCGAGAGGCAGATTCATACACCGAAGCATAATAAGTTCACAAACCATTCACACAATCATTCCAAGCAACGACATTCTACCCTATCAAGTTCAAGACACAACACATCAAACACAGTGGGAACGACTCACATTCACCAAATATTATGTACAATACATACTCTAAACAAAACTAAAACTCTCCACCCCACACTTAGGATGGAACATTGTCCCTAATGTTCTGTACCTAGACTCTAAACATGTTAACACAAAAATGAAAAAGTAAACAAAGGGAAAGATGAAAAACCTCGGGACAAATGCTAGGCGGATGAGGTGGGAGGTGGTGGAAGGTCGCTTGGGCAATCAATTCCACTCTTCTTGAGATGCTCGGCCATTTTCTGAATAAATTGATGTTGGATGTTGATTTGTTGTTGCTGCTGCTGGTAGTTATGATCTTGTTGCTCCAGTTGTTGTTGTAGGTGAGCAATGATGTCCCCCGGGTGAGTGCCTTGTGTTGGGGTGCTTGTGGAGCGATTTGGATCAGCTTGGGGAGTCCTTGAAGATGCTCCTGAGGTGCTGGCAGCGGCTGCTAGGATTTCTATTGTACGGGCAGCAGCCAAATTAAATCATCTTCTTCTGTTGCCTCCTTAGTCGTGGTTTTCTCCGTGTTGGCTTTTGCTTTCTCTTCCTTGATTTTGTTGAACTCAGGTATCGATACATACCTTCCTCTTGATATGATTCTTCTTATGTAGTTCATATTGGATAGAGTTCTTTCTTCGATTACTAGGGTGCCCTCACATTTGTCTATGCCATTCGGATTCTTTGGAAATCCGCAATAAGTTTGGGCTATAGCAGTAATGATTCCTCCAAATCTAATGTTGCCCTTTGATCCTTTTGAAGCTTGCTCTCCAAGGACAACTCCCAACCAATAGCCCAACTTGAGTGGCTTCTTCGTGACACAACTGTAGAGGAAGCGGAGGTCGGTATTGTGTACACCGGGGTTGTCAGAACCACGACCCAAAGCTGTCCGACACAGGTATTCATGTACCAGCACCAAAGCAGGATCTCGAATGGTTTTTCTTCTTGTCTTCTGTGAGTAGAACTCTTTATCATCATCTGAAATTTTTCTCCAAAAAGCCTTTTCATCATAAGGAAGCTCAGGTTCTGTTGTTGCTGCCCCATCAAATAGCAAAGCCTTGTGTACTTCGATCAAGGACAACTCAAATTGTTTGCCTCCCAAAGAAAACTGAAACCTGCTGTTGATTCCATCTTTATGAAAGACAAATGTAGCTAGAAACGCCCTTGTCAATTTCTCATAAGTAGGAAATCTCATTTCTTGGAATCTAGGCCATCCCATATTCTTGAAGTAATTCAGCACATTCTCCTCTATTCTAGTGATTTTCAGCACATCCATATCCATAAATTGAGAGGGAATTACCGGCCGAGCAAGAATAATCTTGTATTTCTCCATATGTTCAGGAGGAATGAGAGGTTTAGCGAAGGTTGCTGAGACATCTACTCCACTTTTTGTTGCTGCCGATTTTAATTTTGTAGTAGTTTTGACCTTTTTGCTTCTCGGTTGGGCTGTAGGTTGTGAGGGAGCTTGCCTCTTTGATGGTGACTTCTTGTTGTAGTCTTTAGCCTTCTGTTTTCTTTCCGGTTGAGGTGCATTGTTGCTGGAACGTGTTCGCTTCAATGGTGGCACTCCCGGCTTGGTTTTGGCACTTTCCTTGGCTTGTGGTGGGGGTACATGACGGCTGCAGCTTTGGTGCTCAGATGGCAACTCCATTGGATCGTCAAAGGCGTCCATTGTGGCTTGAACATAGTCTCCCATCATCTGAAGTTTTGATCCTTCTGGAAGAGGCATAACAATAACTCTTTCCACTCTCTTATTCCCAATGCTGCCTCTGACAACCCTATGAAAGGTGGGGGGAACTTCAACTCCTGCAACTTCTGGTCTAGGTTCTGGAACTGGACCGGTTTCAGAGAGAAGACATAGCGCATAAGTCATATCCCACTTTCTCAATTCTGTCTCTCCATCAATGCTACGGTCAACCACTTGGAAGTGGCCAACTCCGGCAATTTTTTTCCTCACCATGGCTGCTTCTCAGAGCTGTTTCCTCCAAATATAGAGTAGAACCAAGCTGTCTTCTTCTTTGCTCAAACTGTGTACTTCACCATAGCTTGCAACAAGCAATATGCTCCATTCTAATCAATTCTTGACGAACCCATGAGTATTAGAGTCATTTCGAGTTGATGGAGAAGGATTTCTGTCAATTTGATGAGCAGAATTTGGGTTTTAGAAAACCCTAGAAATTGGGCAACAGTGATGAAGAAGGAGGAATGAGGAGAATTGATTGGGTTGATAGAGAGGGTGGGTCACGAAATTGATGGATGGACTGAAGTTTGGGATTAATTTGGAAATTTTTTTTTGTGGGATTTTATGGAAAAACAGGTGAAGAACGAAGGAGAAGAAGAAGAAGAGGAACGGAGAAGAGAACGAAGAGGGAGAAGAAGAGGGAGAAAAAGGTGGGATGGGATTAATAAAAAATAACCCGAGTTTTTTTTTGTCCACTTTTCCGTTTTTCTGCTCTCTCTCTCTCTTTTCAATTTTTTCTGCATGCGAGACTCCAATCTCGCCAATTCTTCTCTTTCTCTTTTTTTTTTTACTTTCAATTTTTTTTTTCTTCAGGCGAGACTCCAATCTCGCCAATTCTTCTCTCGCTCTCTGTTTTATTTTTCTTTTCCTTCCCTCTTTTTTTTCTGCGGGAGAATACCCGCCGCCAACTCTCTTCTTTTTCTTTTTTTTTTCGAAATTCCTTTTCTTCTTTTTTTTTTCTTTTTTCGGATTTTCTTTTCAATTATTTTTCATCTTTTTTTTTGTTGTTGTAATTTTTGGTTTTTTTTTAGAAAAACAAAAGAAAAGCTCTTCATTGTCCCTCCTTTTATTTTTATGATTGCGTTTTAGCTCTTCAAGTCCATCAATATCGCCTTCCACCCCACACTGCATTTCTCCATTGCAGAAAGCATTTCTCCACTGCACATTTCCATCAAAGCATTCTGCCAATGCACCTATAAAATTGGAAAATACCTTCCTCAACGAATTTTGAGCTCAAGCTTTATGGAGATGATTCAAACGTCCTAAAAAGTGAAATTATTAAAAAAAATTGAAAGAAAAACAAACCTTGGGTTGCCTCCCAAGAAGCGCTTGTTTAACGTCATTAGCTCGACGTTGGAATGGCTTAGTTTAGGCGATAAGAGGAGATCTCTAGCAGGGAGGTTCCTTCTATGTATTGTTTGAGTCTCTGGCCATTCACCTTGAACACTCCATTGTCACCAAGAATCTCGATTGCGCCATGAGGGAAGACTTTGGTCACCGTGAACGGTCCAGACCACCTTGATTTCAGCTTGCCCGGAAAGAGACGGAGACGAGAGTTGAAGAGTAATACCTTGTCGCCTACATTGAATTCTCGCCTTACAATGTGTTGATCATGCCACCTTTTCGTCTTCTTCTTATAGATTTGGGCATTCTCATAGGCGTTGAGGCGGATCTCATCTAGCTCATTCAATTGAAGGAGTCTCTTTTCTCTGGCTTGCTTCATGTCATAATTCAACTTCTTGATGGCCCAATACGCCTTGTGTTCGAGCTCCACCGGTAAGTGACATGCTTTGCCAAACACTAGCCGATATGGAGACATGCCTAATGGGGTTTTATAGGCGGTCCTATAGGCCCACAATGCATCATCCAACTTCCTCGACCAATCCTTCCGAGAGGAGTTAACGGTGGTCTCTAAGATGTGCTTCAATTCGCGGTTGGATACTTCAACTTGCCCGCTGGTTTGTGGATGGTATGGTGTGGCAATGCGATGTTTGACTCCATATTTGGCCAAGAGTGTATTCAGCTCACGACTTGTGAAATGAGTTCCTTCATCACTTATGACAACTCGTGGCACTCCAAAACGGGTGAACAAGTTCTTTCTCATGAAGTTCACCACCGTCTTTGATTCATTGGTTGGTAATGCGGCTTCCTCCACCCACTTTGATACATAATCGACAGCGACGAGAATGTATTTGTTGTTGTAGGATGATGGGAAAGGACCCATGAAGTCTATACCCCATACATCAAACATCTCCACCTCCAAGATTGGTGTTTGTGGCATCTCCATCCTAGATGAGATATTACCTGTTCTTTGGCATCTATCACATGCAGCAACAAAGTTACGGGCATCATGAAATAAAGAAGGCCAATATAAACCCGATTATAAGACTTTTGCTGCTGTCCTTTGAGGTCCGAAGTGACCTCCTGCAGCTAAGATATGACAAAAGTTGAGTACACTATTTACTTCATTCTCAGGAATGCAACGTCTTATCATAAGATCAGCACAATGCTTGTACAAGAATGGATCATCCCATATGTAATTCTTTGAAATAGTGATCAATTTCTTGCGTTGTTGGTAATATGCTTCAGGAAGCTTACCTGTTGCTAGGTAGTTTGCAATGTCAGCATACCAAGGGGCTCCCTTTGTTATTATGGCAAAGAGTTGCTCATCGGGGAATGAGTCATCGATATCCGAATTGTCAATTGGAAGTGATTTTGCTTCCAACCTTGAGAGATGGTCAGCTACCAAGTTCGCCGAGCCTTTCTTGTCACGGATTTCTATGTCAAATTCCTGCAAAAGAAGAACCCAACGAAGTAGCCTAGGTTTGGCTTCCTTCTTAGAAAGAAGGTGTTTGATGGCTGCATGATCAGTGTACACAATGGTTTTTTAACCCATTAAATATGACCGAAACTTCTCAAATGCATAAACTACCGCAAGTAATTCTTTCTCAGTTGTCGCATAATTCATTTGTGCATCATTAAGGAGTTTACTTGTATAGTAAATGGCATGTAACTTCCCTTCTTTCCACTGCCCCAAAACAGCCCCTACTGCATAATCACTAGCATCACACATTAATTCAAATGGAAGATTCCAATCGGGTGCTGTGATAATGGGTGCGGATGTGAGCTCCTTCTTAAGCTTGTTGAAAGCCTCCAAACACTCATCATAAAAGTTGAAAACATTGTCTTTTGCTAACAATTCACATAAAGGTTTAGTGATCTTAGAAAAATCTTTAATGAACCTCCGGTAAAAACCGGCATGTCCTAAGAAACTTCTAATTCCTTTCACGTTGCTAGGTGGGAGAAGTCGTTCTATAACTTCAATTTTAGCTTTGTCAACCTCAATCCCCCTAGCTGAAATGCGATGTCCAAGTACTATACCTTCCGTCGCCATAAAGTGACACTTCTCCCAGTTAAGGACTAAATTGGTCTCTTCACATTGCTGCAAAACCTTAGATAAGTTAGCTAGACAATGTTCAAAATTGGTACCAAAAGTTGAGAAGTCATCCATGAAAACTTCAAGACTTGTTTCTATCATGTCGGAGAAGATGGCTGTCATGCACCGTTGGAAGGTAGCCGGTGCGTTGCACAACCCAAATGGTATTCTTCGGTATGCAAAAACTCCTTGAGGACATGTAAAAGCTGTCTTCTCTTGGTCCTCTGGTGCAACTGGAATTTGAAAGTAGCCGGAGTAGCCATCTAAAAAGCAATAGTGAGAATGACCAGCCAACCGTTCAAGCATTTGATCGATAAATGGAAGTGGAAAGTGATCCTTTCGGGTCGACTCATTTAACTTCCTATAATCGATACAAACACGCCATCAGGTGACAGTTCGAGTTGGTATGAGTTCATCCTTGTTATTTCTCACCACGGTAATTCCACCTTTCTTTGGGACAACCTGCACAGGACTCACGCACTTGCTGTCAGAAATAGGGTAAATAATTCCTGCATCTAATAGTTTCATTACCTCCTTTCTCACAACTTCCTTCATATGTGGATTGAGCCTCCTTTGGGGTTGGATTGAGGGTTTGTAACCCTCTTCCATGAGTATCTTATGCATACAAAAAGTTGGACTTATACCCGTAATGTCGGCAATAGTCCATCCTATGGCTTTGATATGTCGTTGCAAGATTCTCAAAAGCTCTTGTTCCTGATAAAGGGTTAGTTAAGCCGAAATCATGACAGGCAATGTGGAATCCTTACCCAAATATGCATATTTGAGGTGACTAGGTAGTAGCTTTTGCTCTAGCTTTGGTGGTTGAATTCTTGATGGAACTAGCGTTTGGCGAGTTTGAGTTTCTCCTTCATTCTCAATCTGCATGGGTAAAGCCTCAAGCAATTGTGCCCTTTTTAACACGGTTAGGTTTTCATGTTTAACATCATCATCAAAAGCATCAAAATCAGAATCAGAATCATAATCATTGTTGAGAACCTTTTCGGTGCATGATTCTATCACATCCATCACACATACATCATCATAAGAGTCGGGATACTTACTTGATCGGTAAACATTGAATTTTACCTCTTCCCCACATACTCTGAATGTAAGTTCTCCCTTTTGGACATCTATAAGTGCACCACCTGTGGCGAGGAATGGTCTTCCAAGAATGAGAGGCACCTCCCGGTCCTCATCCATCTCCAAGATCACAAAATCTGCCGGGAAGATGAACCTTCCCACTTTGACTAGCACATTCTCCACCACACCCTTTGGAATCTTCACTGATCTGTCCGCCAATTGGAGGGTGATCCGTGTTGGTTTAATCACATCTCTCAACCCCAATTTGTTGTAAACTAAGTAAGGCATCAAGTTGATCCCCGCTCCAAGATCACAAAGGGATTTAGTGAAATCCTTATCTCCAATGGTGCAAGGAATGGTGAAGCTCCCCGGATCGTCTCTTTCTCCGGTATTTTATTTTGAATCACTGCACTACACTCAGAGGTGAGGGTTACCTTCTCAATATCGGACCACTTGCGCTTCTTTGTGAGTAACTCCTTCAAGAGTTTAGCATAGGTAGGCATTTGTTCCAATGCTTCCGCCAAAGGTATGTTGATGTGGAGTTGTTTGAAGAGGTTTACGAACTTTTTGAAGTTTGGGTCTTCCAAGGGCTTCATCAACCTTTGAGGGAAGGGTGCAGGTGGTTCATAAGGTTTAACCACCTCATCTTGTAATTTTTCACGTTTTGTAGGTGCAGTTGACGAATGCATGTGCAGTGGCAAAGTGCTTGCATTTTGACTCTGCACTTCTGCTTTTGCATTTTCTTCAGCAGAATTTTCTGCATCTTCCCCCATGCATGGTTGTTTCTTTTCCTTTGGATCTTCTAACTCCTTCCCGCTTCTTAAGGTGACGGCTACCACCTTGGCATCCCTTGGATTCCTCTCCGTGTTTGCGGGGAGAGTACCCGGGATGCGACCTTGAATGTCCGCCAATGTTTGAGCCATTTGATCCAATTGTCGCTCCATTGCCAAAATGGATGATTGCACATTATTGTTGAGGGCCAATTGTTGTTGAATGTGGGTGCTTGTATGTGTCACAAATTGATCTAACCCCTTCATATTGTTGTCCGTTTTCTGCATGTGGGCAAGAATCAATTCTTCAAGATTCGACTTCTTCTCCTCTCGAGGTTGTTGAGGTTGAAACCCAGGTGGTGGGTTGTTGGGACGAATTCCAGTGGTGTTGTTATTTGACCATGAAAAGTTTGGATGTTTGCGCCATCCCGGGTTGTAGGTGTTGGAGTAGGCAACGCCTTGGTTTCTTTGATTATTGATAAATTGAACTTCCTCCAATTGGGCAGCTCCTATGGGGCATTGTTCTCGATGATGAGCACCTGCACACAACTCACAAGAAATAGTTTGGTCAGCGGAAACGAGAGAGAGGTTGGCCACTCTCCGTTCAAGTGCATCGAATTTGGCATCCAACTTGGCTTCGATTCGTGCTTCCAAGCCGGAGAATTTGTCGACTTCATGCATACCGCCTCTCCTTCGTGAGCTCTTTTCTCCACCCCATTCATTAGCATCGGAGCACATGTTCTCTATGAGGTCATAGGCGGCTTCTGGCTCCATAGAAGTAAATCCTCCACCGGATGCCATGTTGAAAGCTTGCCTGAACTCTCTTCTAATCCCATCAAAGAAGATGGTGATCACATTCCACTCCTCAAGGCCGTGGCTTGGGCACTTCAGCAAAAGCTCTTTGTATCGCTCCCAAGCTTCACTTAGGCTTTCATCCTCGGCTTGTACAAAGTCTACAATCTCCTTTTGGGCTTTCATGGCTTTAGCGGGTGGAAAATATTTGTCAAGAAATGCCTTCTCCAGCTGCGCCCACGTGGTGATAGATCGAGGCGCCAGGTTTTGGAACCAATGAGCCGCTCGACCTATTAATGAGAATGAAAACATACGCAGCCGGATTGCATCATCGGACACGCCAGGATTCTTCATGGTATCACAAATGCTACAAAATCTCCTCAAATGGTCATGAGGATCTTCTGTACTTGCTCCAGAGAATGTGTAGCCATTTGTGATCATGTTGATGAAGGATGGTGTGATGTCGAGATTGGTGTTGCCGGTTGGAATGACAACGCCTGAAGCTCGGGCTCCAGTTCTTCGATCCAGCTTGCCTCGGATGGTTCGATCTTCAGGTGGGTCATTCCTCCCTTCACGGTGTTGATTGTTGTTGTGGCCTTGGGTAGCTCCCTCCTCCATTTTTCCTATAACTGAAGAGATCAAACCCTTCTCTTCGTCTTGATGGCCTTTCGGAGAGGTAGGTGCTGATTTAGATTGGATAATTTTTCCTACCCTCGCCTGCTTCCGGTTGTACTTACACGCCTTCTCGATTTCGTGATTTAGCGGCAACAACTCCTTAGTCTCCCTTCTTCGCATACGCCAAGAAGAAATATTCTGAACTTTTCCTGCACACTAAAACACAAATCAAAATAGTTCACTCAAACAAAAATTTATTAAAACTGAATTTTTGACAATCCCCGGCAACGGCGCCAAAAACTTGGTGGCGACAAAACTGCAAGTGCACAGTGTCGTACAAGTAATAAAGTGTAAGTAAAATTATCGTTCTCTAGGGGATTGGTGAAACTCAATAATTAACAAATTTAGTTCAAGAAACTATAGGAATTGCAAAGGTTGTAATCAAGTGATGATTTCCAAGATCGCACAAATAAGTAACTCGATAAATCAACTATTTTGGAGAAATTGATATTGTAGAGTTCCGGGGGAAACACAAGATTTTACTATTTTACCTCAGTAAATTTAATTACCCTTGTCAATCGATTTAATCCATATTTCTACAATCGGGATACCTATAATTTGATAGCCATCTCTATCGAGAATTACCACGTACTAACTAATTAAGACAATTTCTACTATCGTAG